TGAACACAACTTAAAGCCAGAGCCTTGCAACTTGCAACTTATATAGTGATATATGCCTGCGTCAGAGAAAGTGTCAAAATTTGGGTGATGCTACTAAGAGACTGGGAAATCGATTAAAATCGATTATCGCATTCGATAAAGCCACGTATCTGCCACGATTTTAAAGCTACAGCCACCAAATTTTCGTTCTTACGTTGTTGGCGATGTCCTTCAAAGATCGGCATATACCACGCCCACTCCGCCTTCCAAAACTGATGGTGAAAATCGATACAATAATATAGCTCACGCAATTGGAAAACTAGAGTTACAAAATTGGAATGGTATATTGTTAGTAACATCCTTCAAAATGCGAATACACAAAATCGATAAAAGCCTTATCAATTTTTGAGATTAAGATACCAAACTTGGAGTGCAGCCACGCCCAATCCCAATCACACAATAGCCCATATCTACTGCAATTTAAAGCCAAGCTTTGAGAACAGATTGCTAGATCGGTACTTTATTTATTACCTATAGGTTGCAGAGTATTTCGCAGTCGATTACGCCCGACTGCAATGTTCTCACTTGTTTTTTTTTGTTGTGTTGAGGTAGCAGAATGGGCAGGTAGGCGGCACTTAATTTCGGTTAAACATGCATGTGTGTGTGTGTGTTGTTGTTGTTGTTGTTGTTTTTGTTGGCTTCGTCTCTGTCGTCTCGAGTCGGCTGTTTTTCTGGATTCGGGTATTTCCTGATTGCTTTCAGCGTCGACGGGGAGAAAGGCGAAGAAGTCGTCGTCGTCGTCGTCGTCGTCGTCGTCTGCTGCTGCTGCTGCTGTTGTTCACAGCTCTTGCATAATAATTGACAGTTATAAATTTTACTTGGCTACCCAAGCAATAAGACAGCGTGGGTGGTGGGGGTGGGTGTGTGTGTGGGTGTGGGTGTGTGTGTTTGTGTGTGTGTGTGGGGGGGGGGTAAGTAAGTTAAGCAGAAGGTTGTCTTTCAAATGCAGGCCATTTAATTTTTTTGAATTTTGTTTAGCCCCCCCCCCCCCCCCCCCCATCACCCTCTCCGCCCCCTGCCTTCGACCCATTTCTCCCTTCTCTTTCCACTGTAAAGTTCACGTAACTTTTTTGGGCTCAGCTGCAGGGCAGGGCTCGGCTGGCGTCTAAGTTGCGTTGGCGTTGGCTGCGCAGTTGACGTCGGCTGCGACTGCGACTGCGAGTGAGGCAGAGACGTGTTGCCTACGTGCGACTCTTTTGGAGTGGCTCTCGGCAACACCAACGATTGCAGCGCATTAACATTCCAAGTTGGCCACTCCTGTTTATTTATACTAAAGCAAACAGTGGCCACACACACTCCAACACACACACACACACACATAGACATCAACACACACACACACAGAGATGTTGTTGTCTCCCTGTTGAATAACAGTTGTTGTTTATTTTTATGTGATTTTTGTACTTTTTACTTTTTATATACAACTTTATTTTTATTTTTCACTCTAAATGTATGCATTTAAATAGGCGTGTGTGTGTGCGTGTGCGTGTGTGTGTGTGTTCCTTTTGGGTGGCAGGCAACATATCGCATACCAAATACAAACACAAACACAAATACAAACGCAACTTTGAATGTCATTTGGATTCGCTTTTTGGATTTTAAATAGTTTTTTATATTTGTTCAACCTGAAGAGTAGGCGGAAATGCTGGTTAGGCGGGGTCTGGTAAAGTGTTATAGTCAAATCATCATAATCGTCAACAGATTGCGAAAATGAGTCTCAATTCCGGCTTAAAACTAAAAAATCTGACGTCATTTGAGCTAACAAATGTCCACTTAAAGTATTTCTTATATCAAAACTGAAATCAATTTCGACAATATATTTGCTATCTACAAATCAAAAGACTTCAAAGAGAGCTACGCAATATGGGGACAACAATAATTATATTGCTTACGAAGGTCAATTGGTTTTTAGTACTCAATATTAATTATAATTTGATATATTATATAAACGCTTTAATTGAGCCTTTATTATTTTCTTAAGTACTTCTTATAATTGATCTCGTATTTATATTTGATATGTTATAGAGAAGATATAATAGCTGTAGGCTTCAAGGGAGTCTTTATTATTATTTTTTACGTACTTCTTATAATTAAAATTACTTAATTTGACATATTATAGAAAAACTCCAATAGCTGTGTGTCTATTTTTCTTTAGAGTTGTCAATCATTATCATCGATTAATTGAGCTGTCGCATTTTGCCCCTAATCTGATCGGAAATTATCTCTTCCCAAACTACGCAGACAGAATTATTATCATTAGCATTTTTCGAATGTCCTTCGAGGGTCGGCAATCTCTTTACTTACTCTCTTTCTCTGTCTCTCTGTCCTGTTGCTGCTGTAATTTTACAAGGCATCCACAGCAATTTCTGTTTTTTGGTTGTTATACGTTGTTCATTGTTTAACGAGGTGCGATTCGGGGCTGGTTGGTAACTTGGTAACTTGATCAACGTGACCTCGGAATAACTTGACTTGACTCATTTTCATCTTGGCACAACTGCGACTTAAGTCGAGCCGAGTTCTGGCTCCAAGTAACAGCAGCAACAGCAACGGCAACCATTTGGGGCAAGCAATCAACAGGCGGCGATCACATGAAATTTAATCGGCCTGGCAACGTTGCCATCTCCAAGGCCATTAAAAAGACAACCAGACCAAAAAAAGCGCAACAATAATGAGGGGAGAATATCACAGCACAAGCAAAAAAAAAAAAAAACATGAAAAAAGATGTAAAAACCCCAGTACCTTAATTACATGTCCAGCTTTGGGCATTTCAGTTGCCCTTTAGCTTTATATTTATATTTATATTGATCTTTCTTCTCTTTGTTTTATTTTTTTTTTTTTGTGGGGATGCGCTGTCAAGTGTTGTGGCTTGGACGAGGATCACTTCCCGGTTCGGTGGCCCGAACTTAATTCTGCTTCTTACCACAGCAAATATACTTAACTTAAGAGTCACACATTTCCCATGATCATCATCATTACTCAATTGGAAAAGAGGAAAAGGAAATCAAAAACAAACTAACGCAAATTTGACAATCAGTGCTAATTAGAAAATCGATTGATCAATCGTAAAAGGAAAAGAGTTGTGAGAAAGAGGGCGTGGGTAGATATGTATAATAAATTAATAGCCACAGAAAGTGGAAATGAGCAGCAACAATGAACCCACTTTAAATAATAATAACAATCGTTATTCGTAGCTGAAACTAAGTAAAAATTAGTTACTTCAAGCATGATTGAAACTTTGTTGATGCTGCAGTATAGCTAAAGTTAATCACAGCAAATTATTCAATCGATCATATTATTATATGTACATATTTTCAGATTAAATATCTCAAGTATGGATCACATTTCACACATAAAACATGCTCTATAAGGTATTTGCTGAAAGTGCATTTTGCAGATAGAGAGAGAGAGAGAGAGAGAGAGAGAGAGAGACACATCGAGTAAGACAAGAAATAATAAAAAAAAAACTCAGGAAAATTAAATATGTGGCATAAATGATAAAATTGCATAAATAGGCAAATGAACAACGGTTAATCAATAAGCCAAAAGATTGAATAATAATATTTACAACAACAACAACATTTTGGTAGATTGCGCGAGTGGTCAATTTGGTCAACAAAAAAACAAAAAAAAAAAAAATGAGAGCCGGCCGGAGTTGAAGCCAAATCTTTGGCATAATTTACAACGGCGATCATCTGATTGCTGATTGCCCTGTTGCCGGATTCGGATGCGGATTCGGGTTCGGCTGCGGCTGTGGTTACGAGTTTGGCCAGTCTGCTCGTTCGTTCGGCATTTTTTGTGGGATTTGCCGCCATTCGGCGATTGGCATTCGGCACTTTGCTGCCCTGCTAATTGCAGCTAAAAGCGACGGCGACGGCGGCCAACGGGTCGTATGTGTAATGCGGTTAATCAACGATGCTAATGCTAATAATGAGAAGCATCATGATGATGATGTTATTGCGCTGCTGCTGCTGCTGCTGCTGCTGTTGCTGGTGATGATGATGACGACGCCAAACGGCCTTGAGGCCAACAGCAGCAACAGTTAACCAGTTTGCCGCTTATGAAATACCAGTAAAGAAAGACAGACAGAGAGCAACAGCCACAGAGCGTGAGCGAGAGAGAGAGAGAGAGAGAGAGAGAGAGAGAGAGAGAGAGAGAGAGAGAGCGGGCATGAGAGAGTAATCAGAGTGGAGTAGAGCAGAGCAGAGCAATGTTGTGGAGAAGCACGCTGCAGAGAATCCCCCAAAATGCAAGTGAATGTCGATGGGTTTTGCCCGCAGCAACAGCAACAGCAGCAGCAACAACAAGCGCAACAGCAGCAGCACCAACAAGCGCAACAGCAGCAACAGCAGCAACAGCAGCAGCAACAACAACAGCAGCAGCAACTGCAACAATTAGCAAGTGTTGCAGCTCAATTGAACTGAACTTCCTAGTGCCGTTGCAGCGCCATTGAAAAAACGACTGCGTTTCAGAAAGTATAACAAGAGCAACAGCAACAACTAGCAGCAACAACGAGCAACAACAATTAGAAGTTAGCAACTACGACAACGGCAGCGGGGCAGGTGTGAATGATTTAGTGTAAACATGGCCATAACCAAAAGCCAAAGTGCTCCTGCCAATCGAGCTGCTGCTGCTGTTGTTGCTGCTGTTGCTGCTGCTGTTGCTGTCTCTGTTGCTCCGTTTTATGCTGCTGACGTCGCTGCTCGCTGCTGCTTCTCGCTGCTCGCTTGGCACAACGGCAACGGCAACGGTTTTCGATTGCTGTTGCGTTCATCATTTTGCCATTTCACGTTCAGCTGGCAGCGAAATCGAAAGTGATTGCTCCGTGTGCTGCGAGCCGAAGATCGAAGCTTGAAGATTTTTTTTTTGGAACATCGAAGAAGACAAAATAGCAGCCCCCGAAAAACAGAGCACTCCCCAAACCCAATAAAAGAAAAAAATAATAATAATAATAACTAAAAAAATCAATAAAACAAAAAAAATAAATAAAAAAAAAGACGCAGACGAAGACGTTTCCAACAGCCTTTTTCATGGTATAAAAGCTACAAATATACACTTATATGTGTGTGTCTGCACGTGTGTGTGTATTTTGGCCATATAAAGGCAGCCGCTACAAGTGCCGCGACTTCATTGCATATGCGACGCGAACAAACCCAAAACCAAAAAACTAAAGACTTCAAAATATCTCAAGAAAAAAAAAAAAAAAAAAAACCGAAAAAAGCGGCAAAGTGCAATAAATTAAAAAATTTTTTGCTTTTTACATTTAATTTAAATTATTTAATTTTTTTTTTTTTGTTTTTGATTCAACTTGAAACAATTTAAATTTGTAACTTACACACACACACACACATGTACACACTTCCACACTCATACAAATAATGCTGCTGTGGGGCTAAAGTTAAAATTGAAGTTTTTTTGTAATTGATTTTTGTGTCGAAGAAAAAATTGTTGAAAATAGTGAAAAAGTGAAAGTGCAACAATGTGAATATAGCAACAACAACAACAAAAACAACTGCGGCAACAACAAGTAAACAACAAACAGTTAATGAAACAAACAAACAAATAAACAACAAGCAAGCAACAAGCAACAACAACAATAACAATAATAACAATATTATTGGCAGCAGCAACAAATTGCTTAGCAATCAAAATCAACACAAATTTAATTCAATTTTATTATTTATTTTTTGTTTATTTACTTTATTTTTTTTTCTGAATAGTTGAACGTTTGATTTTCAAAAGTGCAAATTCAATAATCTACAACAAAGGGCAACAAACAGCCGCTGAAGAAACCACAATAACAACAACAACAACAACACAAGCAAAAATGCTGCTCAAAATGTGAGTATAAAACCCCCAAAAAAGTAAAATTCATCTGTGTTATGGCCAACATAGGCTATATGCAGAAAAAGTTGCTACGAAAATATCCTTTTTTTTCTAAATAAATTAGAAAAGGAGTTTTCCAACTAATTAAAAATCTTAAAAATTATTCAATTTAGTATTATATCATTAATTATATCTCTTAAATCGTAAAATGTAAGAAAATTCTGTAGAGTAAATAGTTTTTCAAACTATTTAAAATCTGAATTATTGTCTGGCTTAGTATGCTATCTCTTGAACAAAAAATAATAAAATAAATAAAAAACAAATGCATTCGGCTTTGAACCAAATAGGAGGAAGTTTGTTTTAATAATATTAAATATAGTCTTAACCAATAACTCTTAATAAGTAGAAGAAAATTCATCAAAGTTTGAGTTAATCTAATGAATTATTTATGCTGCATATTCTTTAAATCTGATCGCATACATCAATCAACCTAGTCTAATAACTGCATCAGAGATCGACATCAGAGATCAGTTAGCAGATAATCAGCGAAAATGCTGATCATCTTAATAACGACTGACTATAATATACTCAATGCCTTATGCATATGCAAAGCGTGCATTCCATCAAATTTCGTAACAATATTTTAATGCCCGCGACAAGGTAATCAGCATTATGTTGACTATTCACATTTGAATACCAGATGGATGTTTCCTCAACTTTTTTAAGTGATTTTATTTAAATATCAAAATATATATGCATATATGCATACCGAGACCCAAAAGTATGTCGATATTTTCATTGAATATTATGAAATTATATATAAAGCCGAACGTATTAATATTCATTAATTTTTATTATCTATTTATATATTTTTAATAGGATTATTTTTGATATCGATCATAAGTTGATCAGCTTAGTAAAAATATGCACATTGCGTGAGCGCAGCATATGATAAACTTTAAATTTCAATTATCCAGCTTACACACCTACACACACACACACACACACACACAGGTGAAGTGTGCACAACAATGATGTCCTCTCCTCTTCTGCTTCCTAAATTGTAAGCGTGAACATCAAAATGTGAGCTGATGGTGCTGTTGCTGCTGCTATTTAAGGCGTAGCTGGGTGTGTGTATGTGTGTGTGTGTGTATGTATGTGCAGGGAGGTGAAAACGGCTCATGCAGATTGTTGGCCTTGGGTAACAATTTTAACTTGGCCATTATAGTCGCGAAATCAGTTGGTCAGTTAACCAGTTAGTCAGTCAATCAATTTCATTATGACTGCAGTGAGGGACAACTGCGCACAGTTGAAATGCAAAAGGCCAAATCAAAAGCAGCTGATTGGCAATTGCTAAAGGTGTGACAAAAGGTTAGGCAAAAAAGAAGCAAAGTAGAAGAAACATGGCCAAAAGCATAAGTCAAAAACCTTTTAGGCATAGCTCAAAAAGACGCATCCAACAATGCAACAGAAATAAACGTATTTTACATTTCATGGCTCTTATGATTGTTTCTCTTGTTGTTGCTATTGTTGTTGTTGTTGTATGCTTCACTGCGCTCGCAACGCTTGTCGCGACGTCAATGGCCTCCAGCGGTGTCTATAAACATACACCTAAAGCCAACACCAACGCAGCTGCCGCATCAAATGGCCAAAAAAAACAGTCAAAACGCAGCCAAAAAAAAAAAAGAAGACAAAAATGAATTGCCAAATGTGAAATACAAATTGCATGCCACACCCGCAAAGACAGCACCACACACCCCGCTGCCCGCCTGCAGCAGCCCTCCATTTGCCAGTTGGCAGTTGGCCTTTCCAAATGTGATCAGCCGACCAGGTTGAAGAAGAATAAGCAGACAATGGAGCGTTGGGGCCTAAAGAGCTAAAGTCACAGTCATTTAGTCATTCATTCACTCATTCACTCATGCACTCACTCACACACTCATTCACTCAGTCAACTGCACACTCGCTTCGCCTAAAGTTACGACGAGTACCCGTAAAACAATCTGTGCTCCGTTACTTGGCACACACTCACACACTCACACACACACACACACACACACACACTCACTTGGCCGAGTCAGAGGCAGTTAATCAGTCATTCACATTCACATCACTTGTGTTAAGTGCTCTCTGACATTGTCTCAGACACAGTGGGGCAAGGCCAATAGAATGTGCCCTGAAATTGCCTTTATCATCCAGCATATGGAAGAATTAGAATGTCAGAGGAAATGAAAGTAATGTTGTTGATTGTCGATTGATCAATCACGATCAAGGGGCGTGCTCAACCTTGAATCAATCAAAATGGAAATTGCCTTGCATATTGCCATGTAAGGCAGACGAATGCAAATTTTACATATGAAATAATAGTATCCGACGACTTGCATACATACACAGATAGACAGTTCAGTTATTTTGTCATATTATAGTTAATATATACGATTAGAGCACACATATATGCATTTAGTATTTCGAAAATAATGGTAATTTAAAATATTCCCAAATGAGAAATCAAACATTTCAGAAATTTTTTTCATATTGAATATTTCGCAGAGGTCTCAATGTTATCACCATAAAATGAGTAATATTTTTGTAAATAGTTCGAGAAGTAGCACTACTATTATTTTGACCGCAACTGTATATAAAAAAGAGATTACCAAATAAACAACAATTATACCCATTTCATTTCTATTTGTGACTAGGGAATTAAAAATGAAAATAATAATTCAAAATTATTTGTTCAACTATGCATTATAATAGAGTTTGCAAGCTTTTCATCAATTTGGAATTCAATTCGAACGATTAGGTAATGTATAATATATATATATATAAATATATTTAGATATATGTACATATTTGTCAGTAAAGTCAATAGCAACTGTGAGGCAATTTTACTTCCGCACAACTCAACCCATTTACGATCTTTAATTATAACTTTCTTCCGAGCTTGTGGGCGTTACAAACGCTACGAGTGTGTATTATTTTTTATTTTTATTTTTTTGCCTATGTGTGTCGCTCCACTGTGCACCGTTGCCAATATTGCACATTCGCTTTTCTATTATGCGAATCTTTTTGTAGCTGTCCGTTCGGTGTCGAGAGAGGCGATGTGCGCATTGTCACCTCATGCATAACATGGCCAAGAAGTCGGACCCCAAAAGACGTAAAACTCAAAAAACCAAAAAACCAAAAAAAAAAAAAATATTACAAAAATAATAATAATAAAAATAAAAAAGTTGCTTTGCTGCTAACCCTTCAGTTCCCCCTATTCAGCTGGTGCAGCTGGCAATTTGCAATGTGTGATGTGTGTAGACATAATTATAACTTTTCTTGGGCTCCTCCATTGTTGTTGCTTGGGCTATTTGGGCTGTTGCCGTTGCTGGCTGTTGCAATTAAAATAAGTTGAAGTTGTCTACCTTTACAACAAGCTGCTGCTGCTGCTGCTACTGTTGTTGTCGAAACTTGTTTGAGTGAAACAAAAACTTAAAAAAAAAATAAATGTTAAGCGAGTGGTTTCAAACGACGCTACGCCAACTGCACATAATTCAAAATGTTAAAAGTTATCGTCAAGAGCGCCAAGCATGTGAAGAGGAGGTAAACAGCAGGAGTAGGTCGGGGGAGTTGGACAGGGGTGAGTTAGTTAGAGAGGTCTGCTCTTTAAATATCGAACAGTCGTGTGCTGTTTTTTATTTTATATTTTTGCCGGCTCTGGAGTCTCTCTCTCTCTCTCTCTCTCTCTGTCTCTCTGTTGTCTCTTGTCTCGTCGCGTCTGGTTGCTTTTTAACGGGACTGGGCTCGGCTTGCAAGTCGAAGCTGAGGCTCTGTTGCAATGGCCAGCGATATCGAAACTGAAATCGAAATGGGTTAACACCTTTTGTTAAAAAAAAAACAAAATCATATATATAAACCGGTTGAAGCCAATATACATGTCCACATATATATATAGATATATATATATACATCGATTCCTGTCTCAACTAGAGTCTGGCCCTCTGGTCAATTACTTGAGTCTGTTTGTCTGTTTATTTTTGTGTTTCACATTTTGTGGTTTGCCTTGAGCAATTGCCCGTCTCACTTTCGCCTCTCTCCATCAGCCTCTATATATATATATATATATATATATACTATATATATTTATATATATACTTACTATCTCTTAAGAGTTGGATGCATCGCAATGCGGATTCGCAAAGCCCAATGAACTATGTATTGCTGCAATTGCACGATCCACGATATTCACGATATCCACACAATATTCACAATATCTACAATATCCACAATATTTACGATTCATGTTCGGAAAGACATGGGGCGAGAGATCGCATGCGCAATCAGCAGAGGCGCCTAAAACGTAGTTCGCAGACGGCTAATGAAATTGTGAAAGGTTTTTGTTTTTTTATTTTTTATTTTTGTTTGTCTTCTTTCGTTTACCACAATCAACATTAACAAATGATGCAGCACAAAGCGACGCGATCGTTCGTCTATGGCCCCAGACATGATCGGTCATTAAAAAACAGAAAAAAGCACGCGATGATCTTCAGTCTAAGCCAAATCAATCATCACTTCACGCTGCAAGCCACACCAAAATTTGTATATAATATATTTTTTTTCCTTCTTTCTTTCTCGTTGAAATTTAATAACTCAATTATGTTGTATATCGATTAATCTTTGTTTGAAATCTGTTGAGGTCATTGGGGTATCTAAATAGATCTATTCATATCCAAGGGCTTGACCGTCAATAATATTGTTTAAATTATCAACTCATTAGACATATTTTGTGCTCACCAAATTTCAGTCTGATTAACCAACTATGTATGAGTGTAACCATCGCTAAACTTTGATAGAACTAAGATCCAGATATGGGAATACTCTAAGAGAAACGCGAAATCTTAGGAATGAGAAATCGGTATCTCGCTAGACTCTCTCTCTATCTATCTATCTCCAGCTACAGTTGACCATTATTTTGCACATTTTCTATGAATGTAAGAAGATTCATGGAAGAATTCCAATTCATGCAAATTCAGATTCAAATTCTAACTAAGATATAATCATGGGAATTCTTTTGTATTGGAAATAAACATTTTTTTAAATGTTTGCAGCACAAATTTAATTCATATCTCTCAATGTGCTTACTATTACAGTTGTCTACTGAGCTGCCTGGCGATGCTGGTGGCCGGCGAGGAGCTGGCTGTGGGCGCATCCGCTGAGAAGAGAGAGATTGCGACAAGTGAATTTGAGACAGCGCACAAGGTGCCGGAGGCGAGTGCCGTGAGTGATGAGGGTTTCCATACGGCACACAAGATAAGCATTCGTGCGGCAGATTCGGCTGATTATTCGATGAATCTGCTGGCGACCAAGGAACGACCCGAACTAAATCCGGTGCTCAGTGCGCTGATCAACGAGGATGTGATGAAGAGCATCGAGGCGAAGCGTGCCATCGAGGAGGAGGAACTGGCCGAGGTGCGTCGTGAAATCGAGCAGGCTGCTCTCGACGAGCTGGCACAAAAGGGTAAGGTTGTCACCGAGCCACCAATCGTACAGCTGACAACAGTGGCGCCCGCCGCAACCAAGAAGATTGACAATCTCGATGATGAAATGCTGATTGATCCACACGATGATTTTGTCAATCAGAACTTTGCGCTTGATGGCGCCGGCAGCGAGAACAACAAGAAGTCACGCATCGAGATCAAGAAGGGACCCAATGGCCAGGACTACGAGTACGAGTATGTCTACTATTACGAGGAGGAAGACGCTGATGCTGCTGCCGACGGCAAGGCCAAGCCGGCAACCGGCGAAGCAGGCACCGATCTCACAGCAGATACACGTGGCAAGACGCGCTACTCGAACATTGATCGCAGCACGCCGGCAACGCCCAGCGAGAATAGTTTGCACAGTGGCAAGGCCAAGGGACGTGCCTCGAATGCGGCGGTCAGTGAACAGAACTCGGAGGATATTGAGGTGGAACGTTTGCCGCTGAACACCCGTTTCCCAAGTCGTGGCAAGAATATCGATGTGCAGCCGACGCCAGCGCTGGACTCGCTGGAAACGGCCGCGGAGCGCAAGAAGATAAGCGTTAAGCGACCCAGCCTGGAGCTGGTCGACAGCGAGACATTCAACACCGATGAGAAACAGCTGAAGGGCTCACGCAACGGCGACAAGGAGCTGAAGCCAGTGATTGCCGTCGAACAGGAAGCTGCAGCAGCAGCCGCAGCCGCAGCCGCAGCAGCAGCAAAGGCTGCCAAGGAGCGAATGGAAGAGCAAATGCAAAGGGAGATCACAGGCAAACTAGAGGAGGAGGGTGAGCAGACGACACCCTCTATGGAGAAGGCAGCACTTGATCTGTATGCGATACTGACCAATGAGAATCTCAACAATGATGAGACAACCGTTGCGGATAACGTGGATGATACAACAATTAGTCCAGATACCGTTAGCACTGATGATGATGATAGTTTGACCACACTGCAGGATGAACTCGCCTCGTCAACGACGACAACAACGACGACAACATCGACAACAACGACGACAACAACAACAACGGAGGCACCCACAACAACGACAACAACAACGACAGCAACACCATCTCTATACGGCGGCAGACGTTCCGGTCTCAGCAGTTTGGCTGGACGCAATCGTTTCAAGTTGCGTGACAGTGCCGGAACCAGTACCACCAGCACCACCGAATCAGCGCCCACAGAGCCCACGAAAGCTGGCAGAAGTAAGTGTATTCAAATGGAGCAAATCTAACTAAAGTTGTGGGTATGTGATTGAAGGGAATTCATAAGATGTGCCACTGGATATGGAAACTTTTCTTTCATAGGCTGCACCTTGCCGAAAAAGCTTAGAAATTAGTAAGGAAGGCATTTAAAGGCTAAAGGTTAAAGGTGATTTAAATGTACTCCTCTGCTTCGAAATACGAGCGAGAGCCCTGTCCTCAAAGTGGGCTTGATTAGGTAGTTTTGTGAGCATGTGATTTGAAGGAGCTCCTGCATGCGAAGTATCCTGTGCAGAGTAGGGTTAAGGTAGTTGAACATTTCATCAGTTTCGTGAATATGGACTTCATAAGAACACATAATTTGTTTTCTTACAACTTTGTCTGGACTAATATAGAGTCAGAAATTAGTCACTTGACTTTACAATAAAGCTTCAGCAGATTTGAGTCGAAGAAATCGAAAGAACAATAAAGTTGATTGGAACTTACTTCGAAGTATGCCCAAACATTTTCTAATTCATTTTGAAATACAAAATTTAATTGAGTTGGTTAAGCAGCAACTTCAAGTTGGAAGTGGGAAGGCTTATTTGCTAGAAACCAGAATTGATTAATCACATCTCTCGTTAGATCGCTTCTCGCGTCCCTCAATTGGTGGCCGTTCTCGTCCTGGAGCTCGCACCACCGCCAGTCCCGAGCCCACCGCCGCCGCTGAACACGCTGTCGAGGAGGAGGTTGTTGCCGCCAAGGAAGTGAAACCCGTTAGTTCCGGCTTCGGACGTGGCAGGCGTAAGTAGTAGCATTCATTCAAATGACAAATTTATCCAATAACTCGTCACAAATTTTTTCAGCACGCAATCGTTTCAATTTGCGCGGCACCAGCACCACCAGCACCACCGAGAAATCCGCAGCAGCTGAGGAGGGCGCCGATGTCGACAGTGCATCGGCCGATGCTGCACCCAGCACCACGGCACGCAGCACGCTGCGTGGTCGCCCGGGTTTGAGTTTGCGTGGACGTAGTCGCACCACCACAACCAAGGCGCCGCCAGCAGAGAGTGGCTCCAATGCCGAGGAGGGCACAGATGAGGCGAAATCAGCACCGCCAGCAGCTGCTGAGCCGGCACCTGTGCGTCCATCTCGCTTCAATTTGCATCATCGGGCCGGTGGCAACCGGTTGCTGCCACGTGGCAAGCTGGGACGTGCCGGTGTGAGCACGGAGGCACCGAAGGATTCGACTGCCGAAGATTCGGCGGCGGATAGCAGCCATCACAACGATGTCAAGGGCAGCGAGGCAGAAGCGGGCGCTGGCGACAAGACTGAGGAGAAGACTGATGAGGCCGATGCCGCCAATCATGCCGGACACGCACCCGGCTTCAATCGCCTCAAGAATCGACCGCGCCTCAATGCGCTGCACAAGACTGACGCGGCGGCCAAGCCAAGGGCAGCCGCTGCTGCCGGCGCAGCTGGTGCGGCTGCTCCCGCTTCCTCCTCCACCGCTCCCTCCTCATCGGCAACTGGGCAGCGCAAAATCAATCCGCTGCTAGCCAAGCGTCGTCTGCATTTGGGCGGCGCGGCGGCAGCAGCGGCTACCTCGACCACAGGTAAATTTAATTTAATATCAAAATCCTAATCCTTACAAACCGAAAACTACAACAACAAAAAAATTGCTCTCCTCTCGCTTGTATTTGAGTCCAACTGAATTCTGAAATTGTTTTTGCAGAGGCGCCCGCTGAGGGTGGAGCCGCATCGGATGGATCCGGCGAACAGGAGGCCAAGGATGACGCTGCATCCGCTGCCAACTCCGATGAGGCCGGGGATAGTGCGGCCAAGGAGCAGGATACAACTGAAGCCGCTGAGGCAACCACCAAGCAACAGGCGCGAGGACTCGGCCTTCTTGGCCAGCGTCGCCGTCTGCCGCTGCGAAAGCCTGGCACCATACTGTAAACATTGGGAAAAAACAAAAAAAAAAACAGAAACGCCGTCAAATGACAACAGCAGCAACTACAATCCTCCCTCCTGCCCCTTACCACTTCAGCAAGTAGACTTCATGTGACTGAAGCTGGAATGGAAATGAAACTTTAGCAGATGTTGCAGTTATTCTTAACCCTTCTCCTCAACCATGATCCCAAAAAAAATTCCACTTGTTCCTTGCCAACTGCTCCTGCCATTTCTTTCCCTCTCTCTCTCTCTCTATCTCTCTTTCTCTTTTTCTCTGTTTTTCTTACTGTGTCCCTTGTCCTGCTGCTATTCTCCTAATTGGGTGGTTTCCGAGTCACCCGAACCAGCGATAATAATTTTTACAATTTTCTCTCTCGTCTCCTTGTAAATTTTTGTGTGTTTTAATTTCTCATAGGTTTCGCCTTTCTTATGTACTGTTCTTAAAACGCGATTAGCTTTTTACACATACAATAATTAAAATAAAATATTGAAATATTATTTAAGTCCCCCTTTGCGAACATAAAGTCACCAAAATGAGAAAAATGAACAAAAACAAAAATCAAATGAAAATATAAAATAAAAAATAAAAGAAAAGCAAAATGATAAAGAACGAAATGAAGAAGAAGAAAAATAAAGCAACTTGCAAGCGAAAGCGAAGCCACTTATAGATCCTTAAGTTGAACAAAAAATAATATTGATTGATAAAAATAATACCACATAACTCTCGCACATCTGAGCTAGCCAGAGAACATAAAGCTCAAGATCTGGCATCTGTCTGTGTGTGTCTATGAATAGCAAGATATATTATAAAATGTATTCCTTTCTCTCTCTCTCATTTACCTTCTTTTTTTTTTTGATACAATATAAACAACGACTTTTAACGATATGTTTTTAAATAAAAACGAAAATAAGTAAACACTAAACATGAAAAATGTCTATTTCAATCCAGTTGGGCATAAATATTAAAATAATCAAGCAAATTGACAGCTTCGGTAATAAACGAATGAAATAATGAAATCAGTTTTCTGGCTTTAAAAGGTTAAACTATACAGAAAATATGCATATCAAACGGGTTGGCAGTTTATTTAGCATACCTCGACCATTTGGACATTTCCTCATAGTAAATATATAACATATATATTTGTAGTCTTCGAAAAAATCAAAAGACTTGTCATGTGAAACCTTAAATGTACCAACTGACCTTTTAGTAGCTATAACAAGTTGGCAGCGATATTTGTCACAATGTATTCCACGCCGAAGATAAGATACCCTTGCAGATCTCAATATAATACATAACATAAAACATAAATCAAGGTACCAATTCGCAACCGAATATCGTAAAAATGTTTGGAAGAATACCAGAATTTGTAGCATAATTTTTATACTTTACATACCAAAATTGGAATCGGAACTTAAATTCGTTTCGGTTTGACAGCCTGATTCAAGCATACATTTCTAAGACACTTCTGGCCAATTTATAAGCAATAAGAAATATTTCGAAAATTTGCCACTATTCCCTTAACTAAACTGAACACAACTTGCGACTCATTTGTTTTGGCCAATGATTCTGAGCTCTGCACTCAAAGCAGACTGTCAGCAACTGGTTGTTGCCAAGAGAGCTAAAAAGCAACATTTGCAGCTGGCTGCAAATTGGGCAAGTAAGTCGATTGGCTCAAATAAAAGAATAGTCAAATCTAGATTTGAATATATGCATCGCTTACTCGGCTAAGATTCCCACAGTAATAGTAGCATATTTATACTTGGGATAAGTTTGCGGCGCTCGAGCATATTCCATTTAAGTATTGTAGCCAACTTTTGGGCTTTTCTTTGAAAGTGCATATTTTGTGATAGACTTTTGAAATGAAATTCAATTAAAAGTGGAGCTAAATTAGTTTTGACAAGACTTAAGAAGTTAAAAGAGCATTTCTTGAAATTGGATTTATAGGTGAATCTTGGGAAATATACATGTGCTACGAATGATCTTGACCTATTATTGTGTAGATAATGAATGCTGGCGTAATGTTGAAATACATCTAACATATTGGCTTACGTTACGTAACTTAAGTGTTTACGCATATGCTAAAGCTAATCAGAAATTTAGACTAAGCGAACGACATACATTTGATGTAGTTGAAGAGAGTGTGAGAGATGGAGAGGGAGAGAGGAATAGGAGCAGAGGGAACAGTTCTCGATTCTCGCACAGTTTAAATATTATGATCTGAATGATGTCAAGACTTGCCTAACATTGGCGACTATTGCAGTATGTCACTTTTTTTAAACGACATCCACAGCTATTTATTGATTTATCTGTTTGAGGCACACCTCCCAGCAAACCACAAACACCCACACACACCCAGACACACTCGACAGAGCTTAGCTTATAAAAGTGAAGTAGTAGCGCCGAGCGGCGAACAGAAGCCATTAACCGTTTCAGCAATGCAATTCGAATGGATTATTGTGGGTTTGCTTGCAATAAGCAGTTGCAAGACCACCACCTGCACCACTAACAACACCATAAACGACAACAGCAACAATATCTCAAATATTAAAAATGTGAATAACTCAGATATAAAGCGAATGTGGGCAGCTGCTTTTAAAGTGATTAATGACGACGAGCTGCTGCGGATTGGCCAACGACAGCCCCCAAATACCCTGGAGGCGGTGCAGCGACCCAACAGCAAGCGGATGAAGTGGCGAACCAATAGCAAACAGCTGGACACACGAGAAGAGGCAGCATTGACAGCATTGGCTGCTTTGAAGGCGCAATCACGTTCGGGCACCTATCCATCCACCGAGGAGGACAATGTGAATCCCTCCTATCTCGATGTTAGGGATTATGAGCCACAGCCATTGCCCTGGTGGTTCTAACTTATCAAGTATTACAGATGTATTTTTTTTTTTATTATTTATTTGTTTCTAATATTTTTTTAAGCCTTTTGCTTAAAAGTTGTGCTCTACCTTTGCTCTAGCCAAGACACCGACCACATGTGGCACATAGCAAGCAGCTTTAGTGCGTGCGCAAATAAATTGATTTGTTTGCAAATAAAAATAAAAATCATGGAATTTATCTATAAAATGGGTTCATCGTTGTCTTCAAGAAGGCCAATTAAATAATGCACATATTTAAGTTGAAGAAGTTCGATTAGCTGTTTAACATAGTTAATATACCACAAATTATTAAGGGTATTCTTTTATGCGAGTGAAGAGTTTTTTTCAGCTTTCTGTTTTTTTTTTTGCGGTTAGCCAAAGTGAAATGCTAAATTTATTTGATTGATTGAAAAAATTGGAGGCTCGTGCAATGCAGCAAAAACAAAACAAAAAACAAAACAAAAGAAACCAATGCCATGTGGAGGGCAGCGCGGGTCACTTTTTGGCGGTTTGGCACTTTGTTTGCTTTGTTCGCCAATTTGCAGTTGGTTGTGGCATGGACTTTTCTTGTGGCATTAAGGTGTAGCAACAAACAACAAACAACATAAATGCCAAATTCATAAACAAATCAAAGAACAAGCTGCTGTTTTGCCTGCTAATTCATTGTCAGCCTTGGCTTTTAGGGCGTATACGTAATCAGTCGTTAAAAAAATAAGTAAATCAAGAGTGCAGCAACTAGCAGATACCCTGTTATTTTCTGCACAAGGTTTGCTAAGTTCAGGCAAGTGCAAGTAAATTTCGAATTTAACTTTTATTATATTTTTGTATGTTTTTTTGTAGAAATAGAAATAATTGCAATATTTATAAATGCAAAAACTATTGTTGGCATAAGCTTCGTATACCCTGTAAAATTAATTTGCGGATTGCGCTTAACAATTAACAATTGCCAAATGCATTTTTATTAGCTAGTTAATACATTTTTTGGTTGAGTTAAAAAGAGTTGTGTTCGCATTAAAATTTGGATTTCCGATTTCGATGTCTGTTGTCTGTTGTCAAAAGAAGCAAGCAGAGCAGAACCGTGGCAAGGTCGACATAAGCATACATATATATGTATGAATATAGATAAATATACTTAGTGAGTCACATACATAGACAGTGTGTGGAGTTTTCCAAGTCTAAGTAACATGAGCGCGGGGCGGTTGCCAGAACTTCATTTAACACAGTTTATAATTTAGCTGGCTCACAGTTTGTTGTGCAGTTGTACAAACAAAAATCGACGACGACGAATCGACGTAACGACGAAACAACAACCCGACTCTCGTCTATTAGCCAAACAAGCTGTCATGTAGTTCACTTAGTTCAGGCAATAAGCAAAAGGCAGTAATACCTCGGACCAGTTCTTAATTAAATGTTTGCCGTTTATTTCTATTTCTTTGTTTTCTTATGGTTTCAAGCTTCGTAGCAATTACCAATTTGAATTTCACAATGCACAAGAAGCACAGTTTTCACGCATAATTAGATATGTAAGCTATTTATGGCTGACAAAACAGCTAACTCAAGTCCTTCGCATTGTCAGCAGGGCATCCATTGTCCAAGAAATAATACCTAAATATCTACTCGAAATAACCAATCTTACTCAAAAGGAGAGGCCAACTAATTAATCAATATGTTATGCGAGCTGATCTTAAAACGAACGCACTCGCCGGCAAGATAATGAATTGAAATATTTATTTATTCATTTCAAGGCGAAGTATATGAATGTGTAGGTCAAATTCGCAAAACAGCCTACGAAATAGTTGACGATTGTTTTGGCAGACAATTCAGCTGCATTGAAACGGATAGTTTAAATAGTATTTGTATGGAAACTAATTGAGCTGAACGAGTTCCAAACAGGAAAGAAAATGTACGCGATACATCAGCATCTTATCGTCTCTCGTTATTTGTATTCAAGCCACTTAAATGCCACCAGCTGCCAATACCACCGGCACCCATCCGTTGCTGGCAGTACTGACAACTTTTCACCAGGAAGCCGACAAGAAAACAAAAAAAAGAGACTTGCAACGGAAAAACTGAGAGTAATAAATAAAACAAAAAAACGAAGGAAAACTTCCACGCATATCTGAACGGACAGCTAATTCAGCAAAGTGACCAATTATGATTTCAATAAAATATTTTGAAATTCGCCAATGTTTTCTAAGCGGTCAGTGTCTTCCTTATCTCAATCGATTCCATCGAATTTGCATACGAGATTTTGCGATAAAAAGCTTTGCAAAACGAAAATATTTTTAAAATTTTAATGATGGATACTGGAGGTAATGAAGCAACACTGACAATCAATAGATGTCCTGGAAAAGAAAACGCTCGTAGCTATATATAAGACTATGAACTTGAATAATTACTTTCTTCAAATGAATTGGCTGTTATCTTATTGAAATAGATAAAATAGAGATAATAACTATGCATATACACCTCTTAAGAGAATTCACTTTGATAATGAATCTGCTTGATAACAAACAATATATCTGGACAGGTTGCTCTCGCCAAGAGAATTCAGATAAGATAAGTTCACTTTATTATGCAAATATTAGGAACTGAAAGAGAAACAACTAGACTGATTTACAGTGAATATTTTTATATTATAAACATTTTATTCAATACAAGATGTTGGTTGAGGCTCAATAATTAATTTTTGTTAAGAAACCTAAGCAATTTATCGAACATCGAATGAGTACAAAAATGTACTTATGTATATTTTATTTAGCTGGAGCTTTTCTCTTTACTGTTAAAATGTAGTGCTAAAATTTCCAGATCGCAGCAGTTTAATAACCTCATTTAGATAACCCACATTTACAGAGAGTTTTGGTCTCTCTCTCTCTCTCTCTCGTTCTAGTATTATTGTCATACAAACGCGTCTGACGCTAACGCCAGACACATTATTTGTCTGATAACTCCTAAGTAGGCAAACAGTTAGGTTTGGTAAAAAAAATCGTAAAGCAAATATATAGTAAGACGTACTAATAGCAAAGCGAATTATTGTTAATCATTGTGTGGG